GCAACATGAAGATGGTGCTGAACTGACAAAGATTTTTTTTTTTTTTAAGGAAGGGGAAAAAGGTTAACATTTGTTCTGTGATTCAATATGCCAGAAATAAAGACTACAACTGAAAGTTTGCTTCCCAGGTTTGGAGCAGTTCAATTCCAAGCACTGGGGAAAAGGACAATTGTAGAATCACAGTTTACCATTAAACAAAGGCATAGATTTTATTGCAGAAATATTTACATTGACTATATGGGTTTAGTTTAAATATGGACACTTGCACACTACAATATTTGCAGTTATTCCTATAATTTGATTGCAGTAAATCTAACTACTGTAGGTGGTAGATGTCCAGCATCTAATAGCACCCACGCTATATTTGGCTTGTCTTTGACAGGATCATAGGGGGATTTGAGAAGCTGTGTTAACTCTACTGTACTGTGGGAAAAAAACAAACAAAAAAGCAAACTATCCCGACGCAAAAGAAAGGTAGAAACACTAGTAAGAGGCCAATACAGCTCCATCAGGAGCTCTTTAATGGCTTGAAAATCAAAAAGGAATCACTACAAAACAACAGCACAAGCATAACAGGGACAAAATCAGAAGGCTAAAGCACAGAATGAATTACGCCTAGCAAGGGACAAAAAAGGCAATAAGAGGAGGTTCTGTAAATACATTAGAAGCTAGAGAAAGGTGAAGGAAAGTGTAGATCCTCTATTTATCAGGGAAGGAAAGCTAATAATGGACAACTCAAAAAGGCTGACATGTTTAATGCCTGTTTTGTTTCAGTACTCACTAAAAAGGTTAATTGTAATCACATATTTATTTACCACAATTAATATTAACAATAAGGGGGGAAAGGAACACAAGCCAAAATAAGGAAAGAACAGGTTAAAGAATATTTAGATAAGTTAGACGTATTCAAATCAGCAGCACCTGGTACTTAAGGAACTAGCTAAAACGCTAGCAGAACTGTTAGCAATTATCTTTGAGAATGCATGAAGGACCAGTGAGATCCCAGAGGACTGGAGAAGGGCAAACATGGTACCTATCTTTAAAAAGCAGGGGGGGGGGGGAGGGAAGGATCCAGGGAATTATAGACCCGTCAGCCTAACTTTGATACCTGGAAAATACTGGCAATCAATTTGTAAGCACCTAGAGGACAATAGGGTTATAAGATATAGCTAACATGGATTTGCCAAGAACAAATCACGCCAACCCAACCCTGTTTCCTTCTTTGACAGGGTTATTGGCCTAGTGGATAGCAAGGAAGCAGTAAATGTGATACATCTTGATTTTAGTAAGGCTTTTGGCACAGTCCCCACATGACTTTCTCACAGGCAAGCTACAGAAATGTGGTCTAGATGAAATTACAAAAAAAATGGTTGAAAGACCGTACTCAAAGAGTAATTATCAATGGTTCACTGTTACATTGGGAGGACGTATCTAGTGGGGTTCTCAGGGGTCAATCCTGGGTCTGATACTATTCAGTTGTTTCATTAATGACTTGGTAATGGAGTGGAGAGTACGCTTATAAAATCTGTGGATGACACCAAGCTCAGAGGGATTGCAAGCATCTTGGAAGACAAGATTCGAATTCAAAACAAACTTTGACAAATTGGAGAATTGGTCTGAAATCAACAAGATAAAATTCAGTAGACAATGCTAAGTACTTCACTCAGGAAGGAAAAAAAAATCTACAAAATGGGGAATAAGTGGCTAAATGGGTGCACTGCTGAAAACAATCTGAGGGTCACAGTAATCACAAATTAAAAATGAAACAACAATGCGATGCCATTGCGAAAAGGCTAATATTCTGGGGTGTATTAACATGAGTGTCATATGTGAGTCACGGGAGGTAACTGTCCCATTCTGCTTGGCACTAAAGATGCCTCAGCCAGAGTACAGTGTCCAATTCTGGGCACCACACTTTAGGAAAGATGGGGACAAATTGCAGTCTCTCTAAAAGAGCGCAACTAAAATGGTGCAAGGTTTAGAAAACCCGATCTATGAGGAAAGGTTAAAAAAACTGTGCATGTTTAGTCTTGAGAAAAGAAGACTGAGGTGGGAAAGTCTTCAAGTAAGGACTGTTTATAAAAAGGATTGTGATGAACTGTTCTCCACGTCCACTGAAGATAGGACAAGTAGTAATATGCTTAATCTGCAGCAAGGGAGATTGAGGTTAGAGATTAGGGAAAAATACTAAATATAAAGATAGTTAAGCACTAGAATAGGCTTCTAAGGGAGGCTGTGGAATCCCCACCACTGAAGGTTTTTAAAAACAGGTTAGACAAACACCTATCAAGGATGGTCTAGATCTACTTGGTCTTGCCTCCACACAGGGAGGCTGGACATGCTGACATCTGAAGGTTCCTTCCAGCCCTACATTTCTGTGATTCTAGGTACCTGAAATGTGACAAGTAGTACAAAATAAGCAAGAAAAAAATCTAAATAAAAATGCACATGAAAAGAGAAAGCAAACTATCTACACTGAAACTGGCATCAAAACAGAACCACCACATTGGAAGGAAAGTTAGTGTTGCTCCATAGTAAACCCCCTTCAGCTCCAAGCAGGCTTTATTGACCTTCAACACCACAAAGCAAAAGGCAGGAAAGAGGATGGAGACTAGTGATATTCCAAGAACATGATTACTTAAAACTGTGTATAGTTTTCTCTGTACAAATCAGGCAGCCAATAAGACATCCACCTTCTGATGGTATTAAAACACCCAATATTGATTAAGAACTCAAAAAAGTTTAACCTCAAACCAGTCAGAGCAATTGACCAATTATCTATTATGGAGATTCTCAAACTGTGGTCCGTGGACCACCAGTGGTCTGCGAGCTCCATTCAGATGGTCTGTGAATAGTTCCCTCTAAGGTGCACGCCTGGGCGGTCGCACATAAAAGAATGAAGGGCCACACACCTAATTACTGGAGCTGCACAGGTGTGGCTCCACTAATTAAATGCCTGGACCCTGGAGAAGACACACGTGTAAGTTGAGGTGCTGGCCTTGGGGAAAATAGTGGGCAGGTAGGAGGGGGCAGTGGGGTGAGAAGAGGGGGTGGAGGGAATTTGAGACATGCACAGCTGCGGCAGCCAGAGAAAGAGAAGGCCCTCCTTCCCAGCCCCAGCTCGGGGGCTGCAGCTGCAGCTGCCAGGGAAGAGAGGGCACGTCCATCACTTTAGAAAGGTAAGACTACTGATATTAAAATATGAGTTGTGTGCTTTTATTTGTAGAACAAAAAAACATTAATTATTAAGGTTGATTTTTTTAAATATAGTGCTTTTATCCAAAGCGCTTTGCAATAGTTAGCTAACAGTACAAACAACATTTCAAAAGATCATTAAGTGGTCCACCGAGACTCTCAGCAATTTTCAAGTGGTCCACAAAAATAAAAGTTTGAGAACCACTGATCTATTAGATAAGCTCCCAATTTGTCCTTAAACACCTCATCAGTGGTTTTCAACCTTCTTTCATTTGCACACCCCTAAAAAATTTCTAATGGAAATACAGACCTCTTTGGAAATCTTATACATAGTCTACAGACCCTCAGGGGTCCATGGACCATAGGTTGAAAACTACAGCTCTATGTTAATTAATGCCTGAAAGTTATAGCTCAAAAAGCCATTGCGTAACTGAGGCAAACAAGTATATAAAATTGTATCCAAGATTCAAAGCTATTGTGAGAAAAAAGGAGCATTAAAGGACAGCAAATATTTTCAAACAACTAATAAGACACAGATCCCCCAGGTTGCTATAAATTAAATTCAAATGGTGACAGATCTTGAGGATGGGTTTTTTGTTAAATTCTCCAAGCCAATTGGCTCTACACCACAGGCCTTGGCATCCCTGAAATTGTCCTCAGAACCTTCTGTGTGTGCTAGGAAACAGGGGAGCTTGTAGCTGGCTTTTGCAGCTTATCTCCCTGGCTTCCCAGGCTCTCAGCTGCTGACCTGTTCTTGAGGATGCCTAGCCTGATAGCCTTCTTCCTCTCCCCCCCTCCCGGCCCCCTCTTTGGGCATCAGCTCTCACTGCCTAGGTCTCCAACCCCTTCCTGCCTCACTTCATGGAAAAGTGCAGAGAGCATGAACTGTAATCCAATTAACTCTCCCTTGGGGAACAGCTGAAGAGAAAGAGACTGCTGCAGGGAGACCAAACAAAATGCTGGGTGCCTGCCTGCAGCAAAAGGTGAATTTTGTGGCAGAAATGCTGAATTCCACTGCATCTTGAAAAACTGCTAATTGTGCAGCCTTGGAACTACAGAGCTCACAAGGTCATGAAGGATAGGAATAGGGCAGATCACACCCCTCACAGCAGTTCTCTTCAGATTCCGGCAGATGGCACTGATTCATGTGCCCCAGTTTGCATTTGAGATGCTTGCAACTATAATTACTACTATTTATATTTGTATTGCATTTGTGACTAAAGGCCCCAGTCATGGATCCTCATTATTCTGGGAACCACACAAACATGGGCTAGAAACATTTTTAAAATTAAAGGTCAAATTCTGGATCTCAGCTCAATGGCAAAGTGAGTTCTGTGGCAAATTCAGTAGTAGTGGAATCAATGACTACACAGGACCATGCCTAAAACCTTCCTTCTCAAAGAAATCCTCATGTTCGGAGCAAAACTAACTATTCTCCAAAGCCTCTTTAGAAAATGGCTGAATTGTTTTTGTTTAAAACTTTAACAGTGAAAGTTTGGTAAAGTTATAACCAAATGAAAACAGAGGTTTATGAAGTCAAGCGTTAAGCAACCTCACTTAAGGATTTAAAATTATCTAAGATAGGGAAGGGATAGCAAGGGGGGGGGGGAGAACAGATTTTCACCCCCCCCCAGAGCAGGGAGTTCTACTGAAAAATAAGTTTCCTTGTAAGTTTCTACTAAGGTCTGAAAGAACTGTTCTTGCCAATCAAAAGTTCATGTGTGAATAAAAACCATATTTCATCCAACCTTCAACTTTAACTTATTTATTCATTTATGTTTTCAGTATCTAGAAAAATTTCTTACCAGAAACAAGGCTCCTCCACCTCCACTGCGCACAGCTGTTTTATGCAAGTAGCGGATCTGTCTCACCTTTAAACAACATTTTGAAAGTATTAAAAACTATAGGCAAAAATGTATGTGCTTAATTGCCATACACTGCTTTCAGTAAGAGTTTGATTTCTATATCAATCATAATAAAACACAACCAAAAGATGGAGTGGCTTATTATTTGACGTGGAGAATATTAAAGGCCTCAGGAACTTTATAGTTCACTGATCTTAAACAAACATATAGGGAGTCACAAATTTGGCAATGTCAAGTCTGCTGAAGATCAGAGAGAGAGAATAAAGACATCTCCCATGTGTCTGTCATGAGGGGCTAAAAAAAGACTACACACTATCAGTCATTTTTATAGCAAATGTAGATGTGTACAGTTGAACAGTATTCTGCCTCAAGGGATATATGAACCATAAACACAAGTGATCAAAAATACAATTCTCAAAAAAGAAAAACAAACCAATCAACGATCACTGTAGTTATATCACACATGACAGAAACCATAACTAAGAAGCGTGTGCACATCCCCTATACACCCACCTCCACCGTATCCCCAGAGCCCCTCCCCACTGAACCCCTCCTCCTCCTCCCCAGAGCCCCTCCCCACTGAACCCCTCCTCCTCCTCCTCCATATCCCCCGAGCCCCTCCCCACTGAACCCCTCCTCCTCCTCCATATCCCCCGAGCCCCTCCTCCTGAATCCCCCTCCTCTCCTGACTTTAATGGGGGGAGGACCGCCCCCTTTCTGTGGGGCGGGCGGTGACATGGGCCGGGCTCCCGGGGAGCTGAAGGCCGCTGTGCCCTTGCCTGCTGCCTCAGACCCGTCTCTACCAGGGACGCCGTCTCTCGCCGCGGCGCCTTGGAAGGGGGGGGGGGGGGGAGCGGCGCCTCGGCCGCGGGTTTCCTTACCGACTGCGCGGCAGCGGCGCGAATAGGAGCAGCGAGGAACATGACGCCAGCCCCCGGCCCTGCAGGCCGCAGCCCCCCTCACTGTAGCCGCCACTAGGAGCCCGCGCGCCTCCTCCCTTACCGCTCCCTCCCACTCGGCCGTCGCCGTCGGCATTAGCGCGGGAGCGCGCACGCCTCGCGTTCGGGGGCCGCGCGCTGATGCCGACGGGTTCGGGCGGGGAGAGGAAGGAAGGAACGCGCTCCACGACAGAGTCTCCTGCGCGCGCCGGCCCCTCTCTCGCGGGGCTGGGTGGGAGCGTGACGTGAGGGCAGCAGCTCGGGATCAGGAGCGATATGACCCCTTAGCGATACCTCAGGCCCCGCGCACGGGGATGCTGGGTGACTGCCCGGCCTCTCTGTGGGGCGCAGCACCGTGCGCCCCAGCCCTGTAGCTACCAGGGAGGGAAATGTTAGGCTCACAAGCATTGCCCACGGGGAGCAAAGGCAAAACACCTATTTGTTCCCTCGCACTGGCACCTCTGCTGCCAATGAAAAAGATTCCCAAATCTCATTATTTTTAAACTAATCTTATTACCTTGGGGGGGGGGCAGTGCTTAATTTGTGGCAGAGCAGAGTCCCGGCACCTCTAGCCCTGGCAGTTCATGATAGCCCTGGCACCTCTGGGCTTGCCAAGTCAGATTATGAAAGATTTAAATAATTGATTGAGCCACGGCACCTCTTTCATTACAAATTAAGCACATGGGGGGACGTGATTTTTGAATGCTTTGGGTTGGCAGTACTGCAACAGCAGCACCCACGGTGTACTAGGCAATCTACACATACAGGAAAAGGCCACATCTGATCAGTGATCATTAGGGTGGCCACTCGCATTTCCAGACATTCTGGGACTGATGTGGCCCCCAACCTGTCCTGGTGTGGCATCACACTCATTGTGCATGCCAGGTCACATTGCACCAGGGGAACCATTTTGAAGAGGGTAATGCCCCACCACCCCTCTCATGCCAGGAGGGGCAAAGTGGCATGCTCTTCAAAATGGTGTCCCCCATCTGATACCAGACAAAAGCACATCCAATTTTGTCTCAGTACTGGACTGGGGACAAACCATGCAAAAAAAGGACTGTCAGATTTAAAACCAGACAAGTGTCCTCCCTAGTCACAGTGTTCTCAGAGAGCTACACAAATATAGTTAAAATAAGGGGTGTGCTCTCCTGTCCCTACTGCCCTATCAGTGGCAAATCTATGGTAGAAAATGGGCACAGTCAGGGCTGATACTAGCTACCAGATTGTAAATGGGATGTGCTGGTGACATCTCCACCCCATTTGTGAGAACAGAGCTACCAAAGTGCATGCAAATTCTTCAGAAGGATGTGTTTACTGAAGCAATTAAGAGGTTTGAATTTTCCTAAAGTTATGTACATCCCTGCAAAATGCAGAGAAAATTCCATTATAATGCCCTTTTATATCCAGCTGTCCCTCAAACAGCAAAAAGTTCTGTCAAAGCCCAGAAAAATTAAACAGGGCACAAAAGAGAACACTTTTATCAGCAATATTGGTAACAATTCCCTTCCACAGCATGGATAGCACAGTGAACCTGAACCTCGTGGTTCAGGAGCTCACCACAGCCTACCAGAAAGTGCCAACACATAACTGCTGGTTCTGAAAGAGAAAGGCTACCAGATGGTTTTGCCTATGAACTCATCAGTCCTATCCTGTTGAATGCATATTGTGTATCAAACTACACAAACGAACCCGAAGATCTGTATGATCAAACAGAACCATCTATAAACATTAACTCCCCATATCACACTTTAGAGAGAAGAATAATTATTCTCTTTTTGAACAAATATACATTTGTAATCATAAAAGAGTAAAGGAAATTATATTGTAGGGACTGTGTCATTAATAACTCCCGTTTTTCCTTCTCATCTTCCTCATTAGGCAGGGCTGTGGGGATATTTGAAGCTTGAACTACAGGCATTCATATTGTTATCACCATGGGTCAGCTAAAGGCTTTGTTCAGTTGTTCTATTAATCCCTGACCCTTAATCAGCTTTCCCATTTTACATTAAAATTCACCATGTACAGCAAAAATATTTGAACTGGAGGAAATTAATCTGATTAGATAACTAAATAATTTTCTTCCTGAGACACAACATGACATTATAAAGATGTAATTGTGGTTGGCATATGTAAAGTGCCTCATTACTCAGACCTGCAGATGAGAAATGCGATTGTTTTTCAGTGCAAAAACAACTTCACACTCTTCAGGTACTAATTAAGAAATAAGTAATTTACACTGAAAGAGTACTTGAATGTGCATATTTGCAAAGCACTAGTTAAAGTTACAAATTATACTTTTCTCCCCATCTCCTCCCCAGGACCGTCCCTACCCATACGCAAACTACCAAATTGCCCCAAATTTCCTGGTGCCCTATGCAGCTGCGTGCTGCATCCAGCTCTAGGGGCCAGCCCAATCTCCCAGACGGCTGAGCCAGCCCCTCATGGACTGCGTACAGCAGGGCCCAGGAAAGCTCCCTCCACCCCGCCCCACCCCTTTCCCTCAGCCCTTGCTCCGCTCCAGCCCTGCCTCCACTCCACTCCTTCCCCCTCAAACCCTGTCACCTGAGCTATGCGTCCCGTGGGACTGCAATAGGGGTCAGGGGGCCTGCCCTGCACTCACTGGGCGGCGGGAAGTGGAGCAACCTGGTCCCAGCCCACTCCACTGGCTCCCAGCCGCGCCGCTGGTGAGTGCTGAGGGGCGGTTCCCCGCCTTCCCACAAACCTGGGAGCCTGGAGAGCAGAGCAGAGCAGGCTGGGGCCGGGTCGCTCAACTTCCAGCTGCCGAAAGAGTGTGGGGGGCTGGCCCTACCCCTGCTGCCTTCCTGCACTGGCTTCCAGTGGCTTCCCCAGGAATTGAAATGGGGGGGGGTGTTTGAATTTACAGGGTGGGTATCAGGGCCACTGAGGGGCGAGACTGTGAGGGTGAAGGTGGGCTGTATGGCACCATAGTAAAAACTGAAAAATGTTTCATGACCATTTT